TATGTTTCTCCACGGCGTCTTTGTGAATTGCAGCCTGCCCGTCTTTTAATAGTTGATTTAATTGATTGCTGAAATCTAAGCGTGAATGGGCAAATTCGACAGAACTATATTTAACTTACCTGATGATCGTTTACCTTGTGGCTTCCTGCAAGGTTGCTGTCGGAGCCTCATCTTCGAGTTGACAAGACGGTGGTCCACGCGGCCGTCTGCGTCACAGATCTTCTTGGTTACCAGCATCTCCAATCGAACTCGCCTCCAGATGAGAACACTGTGAAGCAAGCCCTAGTGCCGCGGTCGTGAGTGCATCCATGTTACCTTTTCTCTTATCGCACGGTCCTCGGTCGCGCACGCCAAAGGACTTGTTCGATGACAACGACGTTGTCATCGGCAACCTGCTCTGCGAGAAGAATCGCCTACACAAAGCCTACGTAGACTACCCCGTTGACGACAACAGAGCTGTTTTCTACCGCAGTCGTCGCCTCCTGCAACAGCGGCTGCGCGAGATGCAGGACGCCTGGACGGCTCGTAAGGCTGAGGAAATCAAAGGGTATGCAGACCTCAACGAATGGAAGAACTTCTTCTCCACGATCAAAGCTGTCTACGTCCCGCCAGCCAAAGGTACCACGCCTATTCCCAGTGCCGAAAGAAATACCCAACTCACTGAGATGGCACGCATTCTACAGCGATGGCCGGACACTCCAGAGGCGTCCTCAACCGTCACTGCATCATCACCGATACCGCCATCACACGTGTGCCTCAAGTGGAGGAAAATATGGCTGCGGAACAATCAGAGTGTCTTGATTCTTGATAGCTTCGTTCCTCATCTGTCATCTATGCATCCCCCGTAAAGCACACGTCAGTCTGTTGGTCCTCACTGTCTTCGTTCTCAGTAGATGGGTGGTGCTGAAGTTAAGACATTGCCTTACATTTGTTTATTGTGCGATATTGGCACGACAGGCGCGCCTCACAAATCCGACAACTCTAATATCCCTAGCCATACCACATCCTACCTGGAATAGAACGGCGAACACTAACAATATCACAAACGCATCTGAATCGGCAGCTCCCAGTCTATTCTGCCAACATTGTCAGCGCACACTTACATCACGCCTCGGCCCGTTGATTCACTCGAGAATCCATCGAACAGAGACTGAAGAACCAGGGCCTGGAGCACGAACACACGCTCACGGCATCCGCTTCAACCGCTCACTCACATTCAGTCACCGCATGGGCCTAATCAGACACATGAGTCTCCATGAAATTCTGCGGGAGAAAACCGCGGAATAGATCTCGACAATACTCACAGTTAGTGACCGATCTCATTAAATGTTGGCTGAAATTCCGAAATTCGTCCTCGATTAGAAGGATAAATCAGACGCGGATCTACTACTGAATGTCATGCGGTATATTCCTATAATATTTCGGAATTGGCAGGATGTCAGCGTTCGAATACACTGCTTTTCAATATCCTACCGTACTTGGTGAAAAATGACTAATTAAGTAGCATGTATACTTCCCATTGACTTTCGATGGTCTTGTAAATTCGAATATATTTTATGGAAACCACAAAATTAAGCTACCGAATTCTCTCATCATCAATCGAAACGTATCGCTGTGGGGACGATGCATCATATGCAATCTAGGAATAGGATTTTTAGCGCATTTTGCTAAATAACATCAAAATATCAATTTCGACTAGGGGGGCACTACTAGTCTGACAGCCCAGCCTGTTTACTGCATCCATCAGAGTGAAGAGTTACGTAAATAGGAAAATTGATTTATTAAAATCTGCGTGTATGCAAGTGATAAAAATAAGGTAAGCAGATTTGGGCCGATGGACAGTTAAAAGGGTATACGGACGATGTTCACATGCTGCGTCGGTTGCCGACAACGTCCTTCCCTGCATCCGCGTCCTCGCAGAAATCGTCTGACACGCTCACGAATGCGTCCCCACCAACCGGCTGGCATGAGTGGATTAGTTGGCCGTCCTGGCTCCTCAACTGCCTCGTCCTCGACTGCATTCGCCTGCACACCCTCCACCTCCTCCTCCTCCAACCCTGTCTTGAATATGTCCTCCGCCTCCGCCTCCTCTAGCTCGTCTGATAAGATTCTTTCCACTGAGGCCGCCTGTGGGGTGGCTGCATTCAGCAGAACGATGAAGCAGAAGAGGGAGAAGA